GTTCTGGCCTATGGTGGATAACAGTGACCTGAGTCATGGCATTCATTGGCTAAACTGCCTAACAGCTAGTATAACAGCATCATTATCAGTACTATAACATTGCATAATATATCTGATGCCATGATTGAGGAGATTAAAAGAATATATAGAGTAGTAGAGAGAAAACCTTATTACATACACAGGACAGGGAAAGCTTTAGTTAAATTGAAAAGAAGTTTTTGACCACAAACATGATCATATTGCATTATATTAAAGTCAGAACTTAGAGTTTATATTTCAGTTCACTTATAAGCATGTAGTATGTACTTACAAGAGTGAGTTGAGGAAAACATAATTATATTCATGTCAAGAAAAAAGTTAACACAGGAAAATTCTTTTTAAGAAAATTTGCATTGTAAAGTGAAGATTGTAATACATATTGTTGGGAAAATGAAAGTAGCCAGCAGAAGATTTAGTGGAAATGTAGATCCTAGAACCCTTAGTGAGTGACCTTGGCTTGTTTTGGCTCTCAGAGTTCATGCTAACTCTTAGATTAGAAATGTAGCTTCTTTCAAAGCGTAAATATAATTGAAAGAAATTTAAATATTTCACACATTCCCCATTTTTTTTTCAGGTGTAAAAGCATGAGTATTTCGTTTTTAGGAGAAAGAAGAAAAGTCTTATTTCCTTTTCTAGCAATTTGGCTTTTTTTTGTTAATGTTCTTGTGCCACAAATGGAGAGGCATCTGTACCATGCATTGTATCATGCCAGACATTTTTTTTATTTGAATATAATTGTTCCTTAACAAATAATTATACTCCAGAATGACCTTTATTGAGCCTGATTAAATTAGTGGTATGTATGAAAATGAGTTAGTTAAAGCTTAATCTATTATCTGGAGAATTGATGAAAACATCAGAAAAACAATCCTTCATGGGGATTAAATAGGCTTCCATGTAAGTGGGCACATGGTTCCTTGGAGTCTCTTCTGCACTGACTTGGTAGTAGAGCTATCAGGATGCATAACACATAATTTTGGAGTAGAAGGATATTTTGCCATGATATACTTTGAATACAATAGTGTACATTAGCTGTATTTGAGAAGCTGCCTCATTTTAAGAAGTGGCACCTTACCTTTCTTAGTATAAGCTTCTCAAAATGCAGCAGCCTAAGGGGTGAGCTGTGCCAGAAAGCCAGTTGGTTTGTGGTATTTCAGTGGCACTTCAGTGGCTGTATCTTTAAGATAGGCTTTTTTAGGTGCCAACCCAGATGCCCCATTGTGGTAAGAAGTAGATAATAGATATTTAATATATGGCTGTCCCACCTGCCACGATGAAGTTTCTTAGAATCCTGAGCAGTGGCAGGTGTTGATCATGGGGTGTCAGGATTTCAGGATCTGGGAAATGAGCAAGATTGAGAAGAAGGCAAAGTGGGACCCAGAGAACACAGATACCAGGTGGCTCACACAAAAATCTGCACTGACTTTGATATCAGAGCATATTCAGGTCACCATTGTGTTCACACTTTGGTCATTTGTCCATCTGACCTTCTGACATGTCACATAGCAACATAGTTCTCTCAAATCAAAAACTCTGAGATACTTATAATTTAAGTGCAGTACTGCTTATGCTGAAACTGCTTTTTTAACTACTCATGTAGGCATTTGTAATAGTCAGATAAAATCTGAGAGAAGTCAAAGGGAGTCTCTCTCAGGCAGAATCTTCAGCATGGAAGTTGGCCTCTGTTATGTGGCTGGTTTCATAAGCTCAGTATGGTATCTGTTCTCTTAGGAGAGATTTAAAGTCCACCCCTGCTCTTATCCATAGATAGTGCATCACAGGTAATAAATTATCAAACAGTAATCAAAATGTACTATAATTATAGTCTTATTTTGGTATATATATGTACATCTCCTATTATAGAAATAAATAAATCTATAAGGATATCTGAAGATTTGTAAGAATTTATCTTGGAGCTCCTAAAAGAATTTCTTGTGTAGGATGAATTAGCATATTTTATTTCTCAGATAACATATGCTCACTTCTTAGACTAAAAGGTAAAGAGATCTTTAAACCAAAATAAGAATTAAACCCACACTGTCAAAATTAATGGTGGGTCCTCCTCTCCTAATTTTGGCTGTACAAATTTTATTTATCTTTGTAGCTTACACTAATTTATTTACTTAATAGTTACAGTTATTTATTTCTTGTACAGTTTCTTCTGCTCATTTGTTTTTTAGTATTTTCATGATTCTGTATACTTGCTTTATGGATTTGTATGAAGAAAAATATATAAATATGAAATACAGTTTGTGAGATTTTCTTAAGGGTATTTTTAATAATGTCCACTTTATGATAGTAATAAGTAGACTTCTATTACTATTTATCAGTTTTGGGGACTGCATTCTTCCTTCATAAGATGTTATAAAAGTATAGGCGTGTATTTTGAAAATATTCGTATGTGTCCTTTGTAGTTAGCTTTAAAAATCTGTTTTTATTTTATCATGCGTACTCTTATTTTCAGAAACCTAAGCATGAATGCATTGTATCTTGTATGAAGTCACAAGAGACTATTTAGTATTTTATTCATTCTTTCATGCTATTTTTTTCATTAATAGGACTGGGCAACAACTGAGTCATTTAATTCTAGATAGAAGTACTTAGATGAATTATTACATACTTTGATATTTAATGTGTAGAACCAGTTTTTCCACATCATCTTGGCTGATTAGGATAAAAAGTTTAGCTAAGTCATTAAATGACCAATAGTATTGCTAGAGATATAACCAGTAGGTGATGTCCAATTTCTAGTTTTTTGCTTAACAGATTAAAAGGAAATAATTGTCAATTTTCTGGGGGCAGAAAATTGCTCCTTTTCATTGAGTTTGGTTTTAGTATTACCTCTGAGGCAAACTAGAAACTAAATATGTCTCAAAAAGAAACTGATTATAGTTGTGTGGCTTCATATCTGGGTCCTCTATTCTGTTCCACTGGTCATCATGTCTGTTTTTGTGCCAGTACCATGCTGTTTTTATTGTTAATTGCTTGTTAGTGGGAATGTAAACTAGTACAACCACTCTGGAAAAAAATTTGGAGGCTACTTAAAAAGCTAGACATTAATCTACCATTTGATCCAGCAATACCACTCTTGGGGACATACCCAAAAGACTGTGACACAGGTTACTCCAGAGGCACCTGCACACCCATGTTTATTGCGGCACTATTCACAATAGCCAAGTTATGGAAACAGCCAAGATGCCCCACCACTGACGAATGGATTAAGAAAATGTGGTATCTATACACAATGGAATTTTATGCAGCCATGAAGAAGAATGAAATGTTATCATTTGCCGGTAAATGGATGGAATTGGAGAACATCATTCTGAGTGAGTTTAGCCTGGCCCAAAAGACCAAAAATCGTATGTTCTCCCTCATATGCAGACATTAGATCAAGGGCAAACACAACAATGGGATTGGACTTTGAGCACATGATAAAAGCGAGAGCACACAAGGGAGGGGTGAGGATAGGTAAGACACCTAAAAAATTAGCTAGCATTTGTTGCCCTTAACGCAGAGAAACTAAAGCAGATACCTTAAAAGCAACTGAGGCCAATAGGAAAAGGGGACCAGGAACTAGAGAAAAGGTGAGATCAAAAAGAATTAACCTAGAAGGTAACACCCACGCACAGGAAATCAATGTGAATCAATGCCCTGTATAGCTATCCTTATCTCAACCAGCAAAAACCCTTGTTCCTTCCTATTATTGCTTATACTCTCTCTACAACAAAATTAGAAATAAGGGCAAAATAGTTTCTGCTGGGTATTGAGGGGGTGAGGGGGAGAGGGAGGGGGCGGAGTGGGTGGTAAGGGAGGGGGTGGGGGCAGGGGGGAGAAATGACCCAAGCCTTGTATGCACATATAAATAATAAAAGAAAAAAAAACTGAAACTAATAACTTGTTAATTCTTAAAAATGACATAATTTAGGAATATTTGTATTTCAGTATTATATGATGTTATTTAACTTGTATGTACATTCTTTTGCTGATTTTGACCATCTTTCCTATATTTTCTTAGTGCTTTGTACTTAGAAAACAATAGTTTTTGTTAGTTTTCTCTGTGTCCTTCTCACCCCTTAGCTGCTTTCTTACTTGTTTTATTGTACTGTGTGTGTGTGTGTGTGTGTGTGGTGGTGGTGGTGGTGGTGGTGGTGCTGTGGCTTGAACTCAAGGCCTCCTTGTGTTTGCTTGGCAGGTGCTTTCCATTTGAGCCACACCTCCAGCCCTTTTTTCCTCCCTCCCTCCCTCCCTCCCTTCTTCCTTCCTTCCTGTCTCTCTCTCTCTCTCCCTTCTCCCCTTCCCCCCTTCCCATCCTCCCTTCCCTTCCCTTTTTTTTTTCCCTTTCTTTTTTGGCCCAAGGTGGCTAACTGTACCTGCATGTAGGCTTCCACCAACATGCCCTGCTTATTGGTTGAGAGGCAGTCTTGTTAACTTTTTGCCTGGGGTGACCTCACACCACAATTCTCTGGGTCTTTACCTCCTAAGTAGATGGGATTACAGGTATTTGTCATCATGCCTGGGCCCATTCATTGTCTTTAAAACATTTAAAAAGATAAATCATAAGATATTAATATCAGTCAGAATCATAGCTTATATAGTTGAATTGGATTTATACAAGATGTCAGTTTTAGCCAGTATTTTCCTGAGAGGGTAAATTCTGCAGTTGGTCTTAGTCAAAAGGTTAAGAAGTGATTGCCTGTAATTAATTCTTAGTCTAGGTGATTTTAATGTCAGAAATTTGCATTGGTTAACTGTACAGACTGTTTTTTGTTAAATTAAAATTGACAATGGACACCTTGGGCCATTTTCTCTAAACAGAGTTAACATAGGGATATTTGCCTGCTTTTAGTTAGTTGTAATTCATTTTTTGGGGGGATTATCTCCAAAGGAGAATGAGTATCTGCTTTGTTGGGAAGGCTTTGCTGGTTCCCCATTTTAACCACTTTGCTATGGGTCTTTCACAGAATCCTGCTGCATCACAGAAGCTAGAAGTTCTGATGTTCCATTGAAATCACAATGGAAAATCTTGACTTGACTGGTAAGAGCTGCTCTGAAGGTACACCTTACTTTACTTACCTGGAAACAGTGAGGCATTCAAGAACTATGTGTTACCACAGCTGGTCTCAGCTCTTGCCCAGTTGATGAGCTACTTTCCATGTTGAGCAGGGAAGTGTGACAGTTGTATATTTTTTTCTTGTCAATTTTATTTTTTTTAAAAGTAACATTTATTCCTTCATCATCAAGTAAGGTAAATCTTATAAAATCATGATTTTTTTTTTTCTGTTAACTTTTCAAAGTCTGATTTGTTTCTTTACAGCAGTGTGATTTTGGTGAAAGTCAATTTGTTGAAAGTTCTGGATATTTAGAGATTACATATCTGAACAATACTAATTTCCTCAATAGCATCTTTTTGTACTGTCATTGGCTTTAATTGAAAAATGAACCAATATCAAAGTTTTGTGTAGTTTTTCTTGCCTGTTAAAAATAAGAGAGATGTGTAGCTGTATCATGAAGCCATTTAAAATATGAAAACCACATAATGAAGAAAAAGTTGAGATTTTGAAGTATATACATGTGACAAATTATACCAAACTCTAAAACTTACTTCTTTCAAAGATGTATTTTCAAAGCTATTTCTCTAGGAAAAATTACCTGTTTTTAAATATGAGAATAATATTTTGAAGTTAGTTTTAGTAATAGTTACTTACATGCATAAAGTTTTCCCAGTCTAGGAATAAAATGTGTGATTACTGATTATTGATGTGTACATAGTGTATGGTAAACTGATGACTTATAAATCTAAAGAACTTGGTATGAATTAAAATGAGCAAATATGGTAAATATTGTTTAGTTGCAGTTTTCAGGATAGAAACTTATTTTAACTTTCCAATTCAAATTTAATCTGAAATCTTTTGTTTCAAAGAATTCTCGTTAGCTTTTTATGTTAAAATATCTGTATCCATTTTCCTTGTTAGTTGGTGTGCAACTAAATGTTGCTTTCATGCTGTGAGGGTAAACATAAGGCCTCTGAACCATTATTCTGAATGACACTGTTTAGTGTTGCACACACAGTAAAAATGTATGCAGTTTGGCTTGAGTTTATATTTATTGAATGTATGTACTGTACCAGAGTTTGAAACCAGGGCTTCTGTTTCCTAGGCAGGTCCTCTTAACACTTGAGCCACTCTTCCAGCTGCTTCAGGATATTTAAACAACAAAGTCTTAAAGAAGACTGGATTTAATTACTGCTTTTTCTGTTTGCTGTGCTATCTTTTAGGACACAGTTGTTAGAAAAAGAATAAATTATAGTTTTACTGAGTCAACAGAATAGACTATGGAATATTAAAATCAATACCAACATTGAGAACTTTGTTACTTACTTGTAATAGATTATAGAACTGTGGCAGGTATTATCTAATTTGATAGAGGAAGAGAATAAGGATATGAGTACTTTGCTTTTTTTCCAGTAGTAACATAATAATTTTACCAGATATAATGGTAGCCAAGTGCTTTAGTACTTAAGTTCAATTTCAAGAATCACTGTAGAGATAAAGAATGCAGACACTGTAGGGAACTTAATTCTAGCCAAGGAGTTTTCTAAGGTACTCCACCTAAGGTCATATTCACTATGTAGTGACTTCGCATTATTATTTCCTAAAGTCTCATAGAAAATTGCTAGGTACATAGAACTCCTCAGCCAATATTGATTTCAGTTAATCCACAGGTATTAAAAAACATTGCCAGTAAACCTGTGTGGATTACAATGATTTATAGGCAGAAATGTATATATACAATGCTTTGTTTGATAGTTTATACTCCCTTAAAGTTGAGGGAAAAGAACATGGTTAGTGAGTTGTCTACCCTCCTCCCCCCAGTACATATTGTAAAGTTAGAAAAGAAGACGTGGGTAACTTTGTTCTCCTACCTTAGTATAAGGATAATTTTCTCTACCTTGTAGGACTGTGAGAATTAAATGAGGTAATTGTGTCAAGTGACAGATATAATGCCTGGCACATAGACTACTCAAGAAATGGTAGTTAAAGCTTTCACCACAAAAAATGTATACACACATAATATACATGTATCAAAATACCACTTGTATAAAATGTTAGCCACTCTATGATCTAATAATTTACTTCTGCCACTGAGAATTTAGAAGTCCTAAATGGACTTCTAAATTTCTTCTAATAGTCACTCTTGATGCCAAGAGTGAATATATGGTCTACACTCTGATTAATGAAGTTGGCATTAAGTTACAAGAAATTTATATCTTAAATAATCTTAAGGCAAGATACAAGAACACGAGATGGTGCCAGTGAATTTTTCTTCACCATGTAGAGCACATTAGCATCCCCACCCCTCCCCCCCACACACCCAGTACTGGGGTTTGAACTCAGTGCTTCCTGCTTGCAAGGCAGTCACTCTGCCACTTGAATCGTAGTTCTGGCACAGTAATCAGCATTTCTATTTTAAGATTTTTGTTACTATTCTCGAGTGAAGAATAAGGCTCCTCAGAGCTCATTTTCTTTTGACATTGCCTACTTTACTGTCAGAAGGTACAATATAATAACATTTTATAATTTAAAGCTTTGCTGTTTCTGAAATGACAGTTGCTTTTACTTAATTTAAAATAACACATGTATTAAAAAATAACTTCGGAGGGTGAATTTTTTTCAAATTATTCCAGTGTCTTTTTATAAATGGAGTAGCTTCATAAATTATCAGGTATAGTCCAGCTGGAATAGCAGTAGAGTAAAACTATCTCAAAAATGCAGACCATTCATTCATCTTTAGAGGGTGTGTTAGTCTGCTCAGACTGCTATAATAAAATGCCACAGAATGATGGCTTAGTTAACATTTATCTTCTCACAGTTCTGGAGGCTAGAAGGCCATGTGTAAGATGCTGGCAAATTTGGTTTCTGTTTAGCCTTCTCTTCCTGACTTATACATAGCTGCCTTCTTTCTGTGTCTTCACAGGACCCTTCCTTTGTGCATCAGGGGACCCTCCCTTATGACCTCACTTAATCTTTCTTACCTCTTATTGGTTCTCTCTAAGTCATCACATTGGAGATTGAGGCTTCACCATGTGAATTTTCTGGGGAGACAGTTCTTTCTGTAACAGAAGTAGTTTTGTTTGTTTGTTTTTTAGCTGAAGAATGAAATGAAAGTCAAATATTTTCTACACTGTTCATTCTATAAACAAGAAATCTGGTTAGTCTTCTAAGATTCTAAAAATAGGTTTGGTACGCTTGAGGTGGAAGACACTTGAAGTTTCTCAATTTACTTTGAAGTCACTGTGCAAGAAAATGAGGTTTTTAAAAGTGAAGGAATGAAGTCTAAGAACTTGCAAATCACAATGATTTGTGTAATGGAGGAATTACTTCATTGTAAAGGTTGACTTCCATGAATATTCATTGTTACCTAGGAATAGAATATATGTGAAAAATAGAGTGAAGAACAAGAGAGTTATATTTTGATATATTTGTTTTCTGTTTACTGTCTTCATGAGCCAACTCACAAGTTTTCAAGGCAGTAAACTTTTAGTTTGTGAATCAGTTTAGAATCCGAACAGGAAAATGGTATATATTTAAGGCTTTGACAGGAAAAAAAAAATTATCTATTTGAAGTAATACCAGTAAAAGTCAATAATACCATTAAATAAGTAGGTATACCCAAATATGATATCTTGTCTCCCTCCATCCCTCCCTCCTTCTTTCTTTATTTCATTTCTTCTTTGCAATAGAAGTTAGGGTAGATAATAGTTTGAATTTCTCCAGTAATAGCCAAATTCAATTCACTGAATGTTTGTATAGTACTTCTTTCTACTAAACAATAGTATACTTTCTCTGTTATATCAGTTGATTATATTAGTGGTAAGTAGGTAGTATATTTGCTTGTTTGGATATTGCTGTAGGCTCAAATTAACTTTGTTTTATTTTTGGATGGTATATGTGTGTGCTTTATCACTAGAATAATTTAAGTTGCTACTGATTTGGCGCCTATCTAAAACAAAATGTAATCAAAAGTAAACATATCTTTGAGACTTGAACACTTCTGTGTAAAATGATTTTAAATTCATTTGTAGTATGTATCAGTTCACTTCTGTGTTTATTTACTACAGGATAAGCTATTGATCAGTGATTTCATTTTATAGATGTCATTTTAATTGGTTGAAAGGTATTTTAACTTTTTTTTCTACTTTTGATTTCAGTCACCCTTTAAAAAACTGTTTCTGAAATGACTAAAACTCAAAAACATAAACAGTGAATTTTAGCAGTGTGTTTCCTCTCAACCATAGGATTAATTTACTGATTATGAAGCTCACTAGGTAAGGACGGTATATGTGTATCCAGGCATGACTTTACCCCATACATTCAATGCTACTCTGAAAGGTGATGGGTAACTTAAGTATTTTTATATTGAAGTCTGTATTCTCTCTGATCTTTATTATAGAGAAGTGTGCTTCCCCAGAAAAATAACTGGATCTACTAAGAAGTGTATTACCAAGCTTTCTGTTACTATAATAAATACCTGTAAAAATCAACTTAGAAAAAGTTGATTTTGCAAAAGTAGAGATAAGGGCAAAATAGTTTCTGCTGGGTATTGAGGGGGGGAGCGGGAGGGGGTGGAGTGGGTGGTAAGGGAGGGGGTGGGGGCAGGGGGGAGAAATAAACCAAGCCTTGTATGCACATATGAATAATAAAAGAAAAATAAAAAAAAAAAAAAAAAAGAAAAAGTTGATTTTGGCTTATAGTTTGAGAAGTTCTATTCCATGACTTGGGAATCCCATTGCTTTCAGGCCTTTGGTGGGAGTGTTGCATGGCAATGATGGGGGAGCACATGGTAGGGTGCACAGACAGCAAAACTGGTCACTTCATGCCTGGGGAGAGAGAGATAGGGACGGAGATACAATGGGGTTTCACAGTCTCCTTCAAGGGCACACCCCCAATAACACAAAGATGCCTCACTAGGATCCCCCATTCTTAACAGTTTCCACTACCTCCTTGTAGTGCCAGGGGCAGAGGGGACCAAGCCTTT